GTTAGTTTACCTATACTATGCCACGCTTCCTTAAACTCAAGGGCATGTTTTGTCGTTGCTTGTCCTAGGCATATATATATATATATATATATATATATATATATATATATATATATATATATATATATATATATATATATATATATATATATATATATATATATATATAGTTTGTTTGTCTGTGCATGCTGTTGCTTAAATTATAAATGCAGTACTCCCACACATACCCTGCAAATCCGGTCGTGTTTAAGAACAGTTATATATTAGGCTGTTAGTAATCCCCTCAAATTAGTATTATTCACCATATCTGTCGACCTTCGTGAAAAATATACATGAAATGGAAATTATTGCATCTTGCCCTTAAAAGTCCTAATACATTGTAAGACTGGTCATTATAACTCGGCTGATGATAAACTTATTTACCTAATCCACTGATTGGAGTGAAAACAGGGAATAGTCCAGCAAGATATGATAGTCTGGAAAGTGGAAACTGAACTGTATATAGTCATAGTGTTATGTTGATCGTGGCATGTAGTCCGAGTTTATTTTAATTTGTGCGCAGATAAAATTAAAATATATAACAACTCTGATGTCTCAAATTTGGGCGAAATATCAATACAGACAAACAAGTATTATAAAAATAAAGTCATGAAGATAAAATAACGAGAACAAAAATGAGAAAATTTAGAATTCCAGCGATTCTAATCCTCTTAATAAAAAGCTTATATATATATATAGTCTTTGGTTTCTTCTCTAACTTTTTAGAATATATTATGGGGTTTGCTTTTAAAAGAGACAGCATCTTAGTTTATATAACTTTTGTCAAAAGCAAACAACAATTGAAATCCTGTTGTTAGTTCTTCTTCTCTCTTGAACACATATTTTTTAAAACTTTATTATTCAGCCCAATTGTGCGTTAAGAACGGTTTATATATAGATATATATTTAGTATAATTGTCCCAAATATTCAATGCCTATTGAAAAAAATTCTTCTCTTTTCGATCTGTCACAAATTAGATTTCTGGCAAAGGAGACAACATTATAATGATGCAAACGGCCTGTCTACTCAATAAGCAATTACACACTTAAATTTATTGCACTTTATAGATCTAAAAACACCGCCAATGCTGTCCCTCCCCCATCCTACCCCTCTTCGTAGTTCGTACGGCTCTGAACAATATTCATTTATATGTGTGTTATTCTATTCGACGATTTGTTTGACAAAGTACGAATTTGGATTTTGCAAGAAAATAACCTTTGAAGGAGGGAGGCCTATAGAGTTGATTTTTCAAGTAAACCTGCGCAACTGGTGGAACTGCCCCTTCATGCATGTGTAAACACCTTTAGTCATCGAGCACGTTTATCATGAGTGCATGTCGGGTTAGCCTGAGAATTGTGATTTTGCATCCTCAAGATAATGTGTAACATAATTTTGCTATCTTGCGCACGATGGTCCTGTAAGGTGAGCTGTCATGGCAAGATTGAATAAAATAGTTTAAAACATCTCTGTTTAACATAGCCGTTGTTGGTGGCCTTTTTACAGAAGCAAAACAAAAAATAATATTGGTGTTTCATTAAAAAATAAATGTCTTACTATATATTCTAACCAGTACTATATTGACACATATGGAACGGTTTCAATGCACGATATCCCATTTTACTATTCTACACTTAATTTGAGAAAAATTGAATTGAATCCACAATTATTGGGTTTTTCATTTTATCTTCATGAATTTATCTATATTACAGACTTTGTTTGTCTGTGCATGCAACGTTTTGTTTAAATTATAAATGCAATACTCCCACATATACCCTGCAAAGCCATTATTTTTAGGAACAGTATTAGGCTGTTTTTAATCGCTTCAAATATAGTATTATTCGCTATATTTGTTGACCTTGGTGACAAATGTGCACGAAATGGAAATTATTGCATCATATTGTTGCCCTAAAAGTCCTAATACATTTTAAAACAATTAAAAATATTCATTATGTGTAGCACTATATTTATAAAAGGTTTAAACGAAGTCCACTTTATTGTGTTGCTGTACAATTGTATGCTTCGTACTGCGTGCGTATAGAGCTTGTCTGCATGCAATGAAAAATATATTGTACCCATTTTGTCAAATTGCCGGCAGCACTAGCACTTGATTAATCCCAGTATACTTTTCGTTATATTTTTTGTATAAATGTATTCGATTATTGTTGTACTGGTTTATGTTTGAAGTAAAACATCGCAAATTGGGCATAGTCTATGAAGACATGATGGTCTGGAAACTAAACCGAAGCCATTAATGGCTGCCAGACAATCCGATATATATCTTCACAGACTATGGTACCAGGGTAGGTGAAGATTACCGATTGCGACTTCTGTTGAAGATACAACTATACCTCAAAAATAGTCAAAAAGAATTTCAAACTTTAGAACGACTACCAAAAAATTACAAAAAGGACTTCAACCTTTCGATCGAAGGCGCTTTTTCTGGTATACTAGATACAAATTGTAATATTTTCCGAGGATTTTTAGGTTTTATCTACAGTACAATGAAACCCCGCGACTATAGAGACATCGTCAAGAAAGTATTTTATATTGTATCAATGTTATAATAGAGAATCAATTTCGCGAAGGATGCATGTGCGATATAGAGTAGATATGCATACATGTACACAATAGAATGTGGGTTTTCAAGAACACAACAGTCTAATAATTTTTAATTTTCCTTTAATACCGGATATGTAAATGTAGTGGTATGCGGAATGATTTCAGAATTGTGTGCACACACAAATTCCAAAACATCCGGTATCATTACTCATTTCGCACACCATTCCGCGTGATCATTCCAATCTCCGCCTAGCTAAATTATGACCCATGACTGGATTAGATCAATTTATCCTAATAAAGCATATTTTTATCAGGTACGAAATTTATATATAGACTCCTTTGTTATGCCAGGTTAATAGAAGGATCGATAGTATTTGAAACTTTAATTAATATTAATGAGTTGTGCAGTTATAAGCGAGAAATCAAATGTGAAATCCTCAGTTGTGTGGTTGACATCTACCTAATAGCACTTCGACTTGGAAGTTTCAAAAGAAAATCAACAAATTGAAGGAGAAGATAATTGCGCGTTAAAAAGTCAGGTTATGTGAGTATATTACAAACACTTCTATTATATTAGCTGAAAAGTGAGATGGACATACGGGGATGGGAAACGACGGGAATGCATGGGGGTAGGAAAGGGAATGGGAAAAGACGAGAAAACTAGAAAAGTGAGATGAACATACGGGGACATGGATTTACGTGGCTTCGGTTGCGCAATCGTCAGAGCAAGCGCCTTTCACCTCTGAGACCGTGGGTTCGATTCTCGCTACGGACTCATGCTCAACACTTATGTGAAAAGAGACAGTCAACGCTCTACCAAAAGTCGTAGGTTTTCTCCGGGTACTCCGCTTTCCTCCCACAGGAAATGTTGACAGGGTGGGTTGGGATTATCCCCCTAACTGACCCTTCCACCGTAGCCGCATGTGCTCCGTGATCAGCTAGATATGAGTCATAGAGTGGCTGCCATGTAGGCGCCCTTGGAAAGCCATCGACTCGATCAGGTTGAGTTGCGTCCCTCGTAATTTAGCTCTCAGCTGCAAGTAAGGATGATTAGCAAATCCCCCTTACTTACTTACAAACTGACTTGCAGTTTTGTTATAGAAATTGAGAATAACGATGAATTTTAGACGGTAGCTATTAAGTTATCACGCACGTTATTTAATTACCTCCTCCAGGGGGTTATATTTTTATCCGCGTTTGTGGTGTTAACCATGTAAATTCTTTTATTTTACTTTAGTGATCTGATTTTAAATTGAAGAATATATGGCGTTTAATTTGGCAATTTTCCTTGCTGTACTTGTAAGTTTCAAATTAAAAATGAATTTTAAAAACCAATTTAGGGACCGTTCATTATTTATACCTGCATGGGGTTGGTGCCGAAGAGATATGGGTTGGGTAATCAAGTTTTTAACTAGTTCATGTGTTGGGTAAAAATTTATGGTTGTCTGTCAATTATAAAATAAAACCAAAATTACGGCCAGAGTTGCAAAAAAGCTACGGACACACGGGCATTACCTGCGTGGAAGGTTTACCACAGGTGAGGTCAGTGAGGAAGGTTTAGTGGTCAATGGTGGCTAACACCAAAAAAGTAAAACAAATCAATCGTAGTTGAACAGGTAGTTGAGGCAGACAAGTTGTGGTGGTACTATTGTGATATAGTACCTATACCAGATGACTATGACATTGGAGAATAGTGAGAAGACAATAACTGAAAATATTCTGTAAAATTAAAATGTGTATGTGTCAACCATCAGAGGCACCTTAAACCATTGCACCACCAATAACAGGAGGCTATTACTAAGAGCTATTCATCATGGTTACAATAAGAAACTCCCATTGAACATCATAGTATTCAGAGATTATTTGATTACATGATTTCAATATTTTTAGGGAATAATTAATAGTAATAAATGAAATGAACCAACAATGCTGTAGCAACTAAACATTGTAATAATTACATAAATATGGCCAAGGTGAAATGTTGTAAACTGCCACAAAAATTATAAACAAAGCTGAGGAAGAAATTTTAGCATGTACGTGCGATGTGAGGTCTGACTAAAATATACAGTTTGATTTAATACAGATCGGTGTATCAAGGTCCTATAATCGAAGTGTATCAAGGTCCTATAATCGAAATCATTGTTTACATATACTGATATACCTGATAACTACTGTACACTGTCAATTCCCAAAACTATAATGTAACCATAAGTATATGGCACGATTGACAGCATCTGTTATAGAGATTATATTGCCATTGCCATTGACTTTCAACCATTCCAAACATTGCCATTGATTATAAACCGCCATGCAGGGCACCATACTGCTTGGTTTAAATTTAGCACTTTGTTTCGGAAACAAGTGGGAACATTCGCTGCCTTGCTGATTGTGAAATTGGGCGATTGGGTCACACTTCTAAAGACCTAAATACTCTCAAATGCCTTTCAAAACCACAAGAACAGAAACATCAAATACCACATCTGGAATGTTGTTGCCATTGTTTTACCACTGACCTCTATATAATATGTGTACAGGTGTAAATTCAACAACTTCAATCAGTTGATATCGAGTATTTCTAGATCAGTGATATATCGACTGGAAGGTTGTGTTGCCCAGTATGAACAAGTTGTCAACAATGTTGTTTCAAGTTTTAATTGTTGACAACTTGTTCATAGTGGGCAGCACAACCTTGTTCACCCATGTCAATATCAACTGCATGGGAACAAGTTGCTGACTTTCTGAATTTTTACGTGTATACCGCTGCGCTTTTTATTACAGATTCAGAAACCATCACATCTTGAGTCCATGACTTTTTTCAGTTGTATATTCTTTTATATTCAATATGTCATATAGGATGTAGACGTAGTAGGTAAGGACGTACTGTCCAATTTGTCTAAAGTATAAATCTATTACGGCAAATTATATATTAGAATCATGCACTGTATTTAACGGCACATCTCTTTCATCGTTTCAAATTTTATGCTATGACGCCATATTTTATTATTTATTCAATTTATTTTGAGGAAGGTTTCTAACTTCAAATTTTACTCGGAGGAAATTTGAACAGGTTTTGCAACTCTGATTAATGACCATGCATTGGAAAATATGAAGAAAAATGTATACAATACATTCTGTACCAAAATAGACCATCAGTGATTGATGAAGGACTCTATCATTGAACGTGATTGCTTTGGCACACTCAGTGAGTTTGAGAGAGGTTTTAGAATTTACACAACTTGATTTCTGTCACCATAATCTTGTGTGTTTAAGTACAGTAACACATGGCTTGAGTAAAAATTATTTTGACCAATGTCGAGGTTGGGTAAATAAAAAAATACAGTGTTTTCGCTTCTCTTCGGTAGCAACCCCAGGTATAAATAATGAACGGTCCCTTAGCTTAGTATACTTCGTAAACCATTCGCATGTATAGTTTGCAAAGAGCCAGGGTTTGCAATGAGATATTCATTAAATTAACCTAAATTCGGCATAATAATATCCAGTGTTAAGTATTGCGTTTCAAATATTGGCCTTTTATTTCGGATCGGTAACTGTGAAATGCTACTTTTTTGTGTCAACGGAAAAAGTGGAAAAAAGCGAGACCATTAAAAATTGCCAATGCAAATAAAATTTTCTTCAACATTTTGGCTATGTTCGCAAATCGGAGATACGGTATCTATCTGGAAGATTACAGTGTCGTGAAATGTTTTAATTTAACTTATATTTTAAATTTGCAAAATATTGTGGAGATAAGTTTATGACAGGATGTATATAATTTCCATATCCAGCGCAAGCAGAAAGATGGTGTTTGCCGAAAGAAAAAAAGAAAAAAAAAAGAAAGATGCTTGTCTGTTATACATGTATATATACATTGCTGTCTAGTTTAACTGTGTATCGTTAAATTGGCTAAAACCCAAAATAGCCGTATGTTTTCAGCATTGGCTAAACATGAGTAGTTATATATCTCGGGTTTAATGCCCCGATTTTATTAGCTTTTAAATAATTATTAGTAATCATGAGTAAGGGGCCATTTACACAATACCTGACGCTGCTTTTGCCAATTTTGTAGACCTTCCTACCCCCTTGTGACAGTCTGTGGCTAGCAGTACACCCCATCATATTTTATTCCCTCCCCCCTTGTGACATTATGTGACTTCTGATCAAACACTCCCTCACCCCCACGAGCGTCACGTATTTTGTGAATGACTCTAATGCATGTAAATTATTTATGATAAATGACGTGTAATTCCGAAGATAATGCGAAGATTCGAAGATAATGCGAAGAATTTCCGATAACGATAAAATAACGAGGGTTTCACCATTTTGTTTCAGGATGACAGAACGTTTAATAATGGAAGTTTTAAGAACAGGTGGGAAAATTGCTCGGGTTTTCAGCGGGCGAAGAAAATATGAGTGCTTCCACTTGGTTGATTTAAAAAACATAAACAACAAAAATTGGATTAACTGACAAAAAACTGTTGCAGTAATACTTTGATTTCCTCTATTGCCACATTTTTACAATGTAAACTATTAATATCGATTATTTCAGTGCAAAACAAAACAGAGCAGAATATATCCTTTAAAAATGTGATCTGAAAGCTTCAATAAAATGTGAAATTGAAACCAAAAATAATAACACTAACACAAAAGTACTACAGTTTTTACAAAGTCAAGAAATTTAACACATATCATAGAAAAATCTGATTGCTATGTCTATTTGTTTTTAGAATGCTTTGTAAACCTCTAAAAATAATATTTTAAAACTCTTATAGCAAAATTCAGGTGATGCTCATTTTCTGCATGAGTCGCCTTTTTCGTAGAAATTACACTTGGACATAAAATTTGCCAAAATTCAGTATATTCTTCATTATTGGGCGAGTTTTCACATTTTGTTGGCACAACCTGTATATATGAGAAAATTAAAGTGAAAAACAAGCAATTTTAGCAATGAAAATACCTCACATGCTAAAATTTGACGATGATCTTTGCGGCACATTATCACTCAAACCTAAATATTATGATACACTTCGAGTTCTACATTGAATGAAAGCAACGTTTGTTTTCACAAAAATTAAAAACTATGGTTTTCACTTGGGAAACACTGGGAAACTCGTTGAAGTTGTAGGCTACTTTTAAGTTGTAAAAATGTCACAACATGAAATTGACATGTGTGATGAAGGACGATTATATCAGAACTCCTTCAAACTGTTGGAAGCAATTTATACGCTGATACATTTGCAAATAAAATTACAAAACAGTGGCAGGAAGATGAATGCAATACAAATATAGCATGGCATACATAAGGTATAGAAACCATAAAACGCGTTAATAAAGAGCATTCGATTTGCCACTAAGAGGTCCTTGAACATTTGAAAGAATTTGAAAAGGCGCCAGATCAAATGTTTTATACGACTTGGAAGAATTACATCACAGTAAAAAGAGCCACCAATCACAATGTGTCTTAAATTATTTATCTTTTTGGAGAGAAAAGTAAATATGTCGAGCTTATTGAATAATCAAACCCGGACGTATTCAGGCAATACTTCTTATTAAAGATCATTGCGTTACTACATTAGCCGAAATGTTCACAAAGCCAATGGATCATAATTTTAAATTAGTTATAAGTAACCAAATATTTGATCAGAAGAAAGATTCAGAAGAAACTTTTTTTGTCAACGGCGGCTTCCAAAGCCTCGTCATGATCAAGACACAGGGAGCCCAAACGTTGATCTGTGTTAGTGTTGTATGTTTTTCAGTTTATTTATCAGTTAGTGTCTTTATATTGCCTTTTAATTGAATTATAACACTAAATTACACTACTATGTCATATAATAATAATATTCCTACAGTCGAACATACAGTAACAACATATAAGTTGATTTGTATGTTTTTCAGTTTATTTATTTAAGATCTATTATTAGCTTATATAAAAGCACCGCCTTTCGAACCTGACAGCCCGTTCGCAGGCTACACGCGGGATTTGAAATAGGGGGCGGCAACAATATAAATACGTGACAAGGGATGAAACTCTTAAAGTTTGTCGTATAATGAATGCCCCGACTTGAGTGGACCAATAATTATGCAATGAGTGTCGTGTTGAATAACGCCGTCAACATTTAGGAATCAATGATATAAACAAGGAAGCAAACTCGAATACAACTCGAGGTGAGAAGCCAATTTGTGTCGATCGTAACGATTTCAATGTTTAAAATTTAAAATTAAATAATTTAGGTCCAGTCAAGTCGGGGCGGTTAATGCTACAAAACGTCGCTATTAAAAAACTATAGCAATTTATAAGACTCTAGGGCTTTTATTTCACAAAATTTTTCAATGGCTATGTACTTTAGCCTTAGACATATCATGTGGCCGAATTTCAAGCTAAAATTCGTTTTAACAAGCACATATGGCTTCAAAATAAAACATTGCCGTGTTGTAATTTCATCTCTTGTCACATTTCTTTATTCAGTGCGAAATAACGCGTGTAGCCTGCGAACGGGCTGTCAGGTTCGAAAGGCTGTGCTTTTATATAAGCTAATAATAGATCTAAAATAAATAAACTAAAAAACATACAAATCAACTTATATGTTGTTATTATATGTTTGACTATAGGAGTATTATTATTATATGACATATTAGTGTAATTTAGTATTATAATTCAATAAGGCTATATAAAGACACTAAAATAAATAAACTGAAAAACCTACAACACTAACACAGATCAACTCTTGGGCTCCCTGTGATCAAGATAATCACTGTTTATAAACGCATCTCCCGTTTCACAAAAATCGCTCACTTTGTAAACTAAAGTGAAGTAAGTCATAATTCTGCCAACATTTGAAGGTCCTAACTCTTGATATATCAAACACAAATTTTCAAGCACATTATCTCTCCAAGACGACATATCATGCACTTAAACATATCTTCATGTTTTTCCAAAAGCACTTTCCAATAAAACCGAAAAGTATATTTGCTAAATGCCCCGTTATTTTCCCTTACAACCATCATTATTGACCATCTTTTTTTTTTTTTATTTAAACATATTTTATTACAGACATTTTCTCCAAGAGCATAGCTCATCAAGGGAGATTATGTCGGATTATTTACAAACTTTAGGTTACTCACATCAAGACAAAGAGGATTACATAGAAAAAAAGATTACATCAAAACAAATCGAATAATCATAGTGTGGAAGAACTTCTGGTATTCATTCTCAAGCTTTCCATGAAACATATTATTATAAGAAATTTATATGGAAGAATTTACCACACCAATGTTTTACAAACCAATGTTTTACAAAACAAGTTTCAATAAAAACAAAAAAAATAAATAAAGTTACTCCGCCTGAAACCGTTTTGTATTTAAAATAAATAATTGGACATTTTGCATTAATTTTACATTATCTTCATGTCCAAGATTTTCCGAACCATGCAAAAGTATTTCAATTTTCCGATTCTCTGATAAATTCATCCACATAGGATGGAGCAGCCGCGCAGGAAGTGAGAGCAATTGTTCACGTTGGGCAGCAAATCGAGAACAATATAAAAAGTAATGTTTGACAGTTTCCATTTCACCCCATCGACATACACAAAAAGGGGAATTTGCACAATTAATTCTATATAGGTGAAAATTAAGCGCACAGTGACCAAGCCTGAGCCTGGTATGGAGTATTGAGCTATATCTACTTAGTGATGCATTGTATTTTACGTTATATTTTTGTCCACAATACATATTACATAAGGTAACTTTAAAGGAAGATAGCGTCTCTATATTTCGTAAATCTGGATCAAGATCATTCCAGGCAGTTATTGCCGATGGAAAGAAAGATTTTTAAATCGTTCAGTTCTCACAGGTATATTAGTTAAATTATCGTTAGATCTTAGAAAGTAACTGGATCTTTGGTTTACATATGGAGGCAAAAGATCACAAAGGTAGGATGGTGCAGTGTGGGTAACAATTTTATAAAAAAAGGATAGCTTATGAATATGTCTCCTAGTTTTCAAATCCTCCCAACATAGTTCATCCAATAGACGATTTCTATTTGTTCCCCTTATTGCACCAGTAACAATGCGAGCTGATTCGTACTGAACTGCTTCTAAAAGATTTGCTTCCTCTACACTACATCCATCCCATATTACATCTGCATATTCCATTAAGGGTCTAATCAAACTTTTATATAAGCATATCAGTTTTGACCTTTTAAGCTTATATTTAACCCTTTTTAATGCGTTCATTCTTTTACTAGCTTTTTGATGTATGCTTAGAATATGTTTTGACCAAGAGAAATTTGACGTAAATGTTAAACCTAAATGTGAATGAGAATCAACTTCGCGTAATGCAGTGCCATTTAAGTATAAGATTGGCTGAGGAAGTCGGTTATGTTTCGTTGAAAATGTAATGCTTTCGCACTTAGTAGGATTCAATTCCATCAACCATTCCATACACCATTGGTCCTCGTTTAGTCTAGAATCAAAGATGATAAATTATCAACAATTTCAAGTAAAGATGTATCATCAGCGTAGAGAAAACAGTCAGATACAATATTGCTGGAAATATCATTTATGTATATTAGAAAAAGCAATGGCCCGAGCACTGAACCTTGTGGAACACCAGCTTCAACACTAAGCCAGCTCGAGCATTGCCCCTCAATGACAACTCTTTGTTTTCTATCAGACAAATAACTACAAAACGAGCTTAAAAGTGGGTCTTTTACTCCAAGAGATTTTAATTTATACAATAAACCTTTATGCCATACTTTATCAAACGCTTTGCTAAAATCTAAAAACACCATACGGACTTCTTTACCCATTTCTAGAGCTTCATAAATCTTATGAACTATATACGTAAGTTGGTTCACAGTGCTGTCTCCTGGTCTAAAACCGGACTGAAAATCATTAAGGAATCTAATTTCTAATAAAAATTCATATAGTCTAGTGAATCCAATTTTTTCTGGTACTTTGTATATAGACGGTAAAAGTGATATGGGACGATAGTTTTTTTTATATTGATGATCATCTTTTTTATAGACAGGAGTTACATTTGCTTTTTTCCATTCAGTTGGATACTCTCCTATTCGGAGACTTGTGTTAATTAAACATGTAAATGTTTTGGCAATTCCACGGCTACATAATTTAATAATTCTATTGCCAATACCATCATGACCGCTAGCTTTTGTAATATCAACTTTATAGAGGAGATTAATCACTTCTTCTTCTGTTGTTTGAACTATAGACAACGTTTTATCTGTGTGATTAGAATAATAATCTAGGACTGGTAGTTCATGATATGTGTCATCAACGTTCGCTTCACTTACAAAATATTCATTAAATAAATCCGCTTTTTGTTGTGCATCGCAAACAATCTGAGATCCCTCCCGTATAACTGGAATTGATACACGGCAATTATTATTAAAAACTGACTTAACATAACTCCACCATTTTTTTTGGCCCAAACGAAAATCTTAAAAAAATGGCGGCGTGTCGGAAACCTCTCGTTATTTTATAGTCATCGGAAATTCTTTGGATTATCTTCTGAAATATACGCCATTGTTATGAATAATTGATTTGCATAATCATGAAGTCTTAAAGCTGATTAAAAATTCTGAAAAGGCCCGAGATATAACTACTAACATGCATGATGTCGCTTTCAAATGGCCTGTAAATTATTCTTAATTTTAAATTTCTTTTAAAAAAATACCGAATTTTACGTTATTGTGTCATGTCAACATCATAGGAGCTGTAGGGATAGCTGGATATATATATATATAAAACTAACATTCATAAATTACGCATGTCTGAAGTTTGAATTGAATTCAATTTAATTGAAAGGTCTTAAGTAGGCTCATAAGATAAAAATACATACCCTATGTTACAATACCAAAGCCTGAAATTACACGATTAAAATACCATATTATATTTAAAAAATATCGGCTGATTAATTAAAAAATAGGTACGCGACGCGTACTTGTTTCTGCGAAAAAACTTGTTTTACATTTTCAACACTTATTATAATAAATATAATAGCAAATAAGATTTTAAAGTCAAACATAGTACAAATGTAACAAGGCTGTAGACAGCACAGAGGGCAGCAGGGGCAACTCCCCCCCCCCCCCGCGAAAATTTAACTAATTTTATGTGATTATGATTGTAACTCGGATAATTATGCAGTCAAAAAATAAAAATTTCATTCAAACAATATTCGCAGTGTCTATTTAGTAAACTGTCACTTGTCAATCCATACCCATTTTTAAAACTTTATTGTAATCATATGAAGCAAAAGTTCTGTCACTTGTTGTTTACACTTGCCAACGTTAACTGTTGAGTAACATACACAACTATTTGAGGAACATGCATTAATACTGTACCGAAGAGTCCATCATATATCGAAGACCACTGAATAGTAGAGAATGTTTTAAAGGTCATGAATAAAGTATATAATGAAATTCCAATCCTGTGCACAGTTAATGATATACCACACTGTTCGGTTTAACACAACATATCCACACAAAAACAATTTGTGTTGTGGGAGAATATCGGTTTGAGTAGAAGGTATCACAAGTTCAGTTTTGTACATATTGTGTGCCATTGATCTGACCATCCATATTTAATATTGTAGCTGTTAAGTTATTACAGTATCCATACCATTGATACTTATGAATTTAGGTAAGATTGTCTTGCAAGTGGGTTGTTCTGACAAAATTATCTAGCCAATATCCAGTACATTTATTCATCATTCTTTCATTAATCTCTAGACAAAAACATTTATGTTAGAAAGCAAAATAACAATGAAATATTAAAGGTGGGAGGGTGGGGATTCTTTTATTAGCATTTGAAAATGTTTGTAAAAATTTTGTTTAATTATAAACTCTATTAAATGTGTAAAACCAAAATGTATAAGTAGTGTAAACTGATATAAACATCTTTAACCTCTAACACTACATTTGATGACAGCTTAGTTGGACTTAGAATTTATACAGAAATACACGACCAGGATTTAATTCAATATCTCCCGAGACCATTAGTTTCCTTTGGTATTATTCATTGGCAATATTGCCTGCTATGTTTTGACCGTTTAAAATATTAGAGAAGTCACAGTTCTCTAAGGATTGTTTTACTGCATAAATCTTTTTGTGAACTATGTTGACAAATGGCTTATTAAAAATATCCTCGAAAATATCCAATATTTTATACACTGTAATATATTAATAAAAAAATTCCAGAGTGCATTTCATGTACAGTCTCTACGCCGAAGATACGGCAATATTAACTATAGATAGTATATTTTGTGTTCAATATATAGACCACAGTAAGACTTTTTTAAATGTTTATTTCATTAACAAACGACGTTTCGGAGATTTACTCCATCTTCAGGTAGTTAATAGGATTACAATTTGAATTTAAACTAACATGCGCATGCATAAACGTTAAATTGCGACCGTTATTCGCGCGTGCGAAATTGCGTAAGCATATAAATTACGTGCACGTGTCCGATTAATTCTAATAAAAATTAGAAATTGTTAATTCTGTCTTTAATGTTTAAACTACGAAATCTAAGACATTTAACTGTTCGTATTTTCCATTCAATTCTGGATTAAGCTTTTGGATAAATAATGCTTCGGTAATTTTCCGTTCTACAGATCCTTTTGTTCTTTTTAAAATCTTAACAGACAGTTTAGGTTTTTGTCCGTAATGTTGGTCGAGGTAGTGTTTCGAGAAAGCCATGTTTTTATAGGACTTTGCTTTCGGGTTTGCTGCGGAACGAAAATGTTCTTGGTATCGAACCACCAATGGTCTGCCTATCTCGCCTACGTACGTTGCTCCACAAAGGTCACAGTTGATTTGATACACGACATCTTTCTGTGTACACCGAACGGGAGCATTTGAGTTGCTGCAGATTGGGCATTTAGAGGTGTCTGTGCATACTTTATCGTAAGGTCGCGATTCTACGAGGAGCTGTTTAAGCGAGCTTTGTGGTCTTTCAACTATTCTGACATTGAGGTTTGAACTCTGGACCGCTCTTCGGATGTCAGTGGTAAAGCTTCGGTTCATCAGACCCATCAATACGATTCGAAATCGAGTTGCCAGGTGAAGATGGATTCCTCCCATTCCTCAACACAAAAGTCAAGGTGAACGAATCTGGAACAGTGGAGACGGAATGGCATACAAAATCGGAAAACAAAGGAATAATGTTGAATGCAAAATCACACCACCCAGAACAAATCAAACGGGCCGCTATCGGTAATACCATCAAGACATATACTTCAATATGTTCAACCGACGCCTTGTTTGAAGAAGCTGAGCGGAAGTTTGAAAGAAGAGCGAGACGAAACGGCTATAGCAACAACTATATAAAAAAACTCCAGACAACAAAACGAAAACTGCCAAAATCGAAAGTCGAACCTCTTCCCACATTCACAATTCCATTCATTTCCAGAAGCTTTACCACTGACATTCGAAGAGCGGTCCAGAGTTCAAACCTCAATGTCAGAATAGTTGAAAGACCACAAAGCTCGCTTAAACAACTCCTCGTAGAATCGCGACCTTACGATAAAGTATGCACAGACACCTCTAAATGCCCAATCTGCAGCAACTCAAATGCTCCCGTTCGGTGTACACAGAAAGATGTTGTGTATCAAATCAACTGTGACCTTTGTGGAGCAACGTACGTGGGCGAGACAGGCAGACCATTGGTGGTTCGATACCAAGAACATTTTCGTTCCGCAGCAAACCCGAAAGCAAAGTCCTATAAAAACATGGCTTTCTCGAAACACTACCTCGACCAACATTACGGACAAAAACCTAAACTGTCTGTTAAGATTTTAAAAAGAACAAAAGGATCTGTAGAACGGAAAATTACCGAAGCATTATTTATCCAAAAGCTTAATCCAGAATTGAATGGAAAATACGAACAGTTAAATGTCTTAGATTTCGTAGTTTAAACATTAAAGACAGAATTAACAATTTCTAATTTTTATTAGAATTAATCGGACACGTGCACGTAATTTATATGCTTACGCAATCAAATTGTAATCCTATTAACTACCTGAAGATGGAGTAAATCTCCGAAACGTCGTTTGTTAATGAAATAAACATTTAAAAAAAGTCTTACTGTGGTCTATATATTGAACACAAAATATACTATTAACATGAGACTTAGGGAAAGTTCGTTCCTAAACATTTTATAGATAGTATAGTAATTTGGCGAACTCATGTATTAAATATGTGGGAAAAATACTGTATTTGCACAAATTTGGTATTTAAATCTATAATATATGGTATTTGACTACTTACCAGATGAGGATAAGATTCCATGTTGATAAATAACTTCGGAATAATATCGCAAGTAGAGAAAACAAGACAGCCAATTCAAGATAAATTGATAAAAATATCAACATATTTTTGAAAGAATAACACGATTTATGCACGAGGCCTGACGAGGCTAAAGTATGCCCGTTCGCAGGTTAGATGCGGGCACGATGTAAACCATTGATGTAAACTGATCGCTGATTGGCTTGAATTGGCATAAATTGGCTGAATTATATAAGCCCGTCGCTGAAATGGCTAGGGATACGGTAACATTAACATTACGTTTGCGATAGCAATATATCTGCTTCGCAGATACAAAAAGTTGTTCATGACTCTATTATGTTTCCATGGGTGAATTAGTAGGTTTAGTTTATGAAACGAACGGTATAGTTGATTCAGTGTTTTAATTACACTCTCATTGACATATAGTTACATAAAACTATATTGTATTTGAACTATAAAACACTTAATTTGACTTAGGAGTTCGGCATTCAAGAAATATTTTAGCGTTTTGCCCTGTTACTTGAGATGGATCAGTTTCGGACATCCAACTATTGTCCGAGAGTACCGAACTAATTAAACGGCAGTGATAATGAAATGAGTAATGTGAAAAGGATAGTGCTTTTACACCATACAAAAACAAACGGTTTTACACTCGTTTCAGGTGGCACACTGTGCGGGCAGCCAAAGTGATGAACTGGAAAATAATATATTTAACCGGGCTTTGAGGGTAAGTGCCGGATCATGAGAAATATATAGGGGAATAACTACGAGAATCTGGTAGTTTACAGAAGAATCACGCCCTGGCTATGGTTTCATTAATTTAAATTCCGTATATAGCTATTTTTCAAAAGAAAAAATTTCTTTTTAATTTTTTTATGCTTTTCCTGATTTTTTTTCAAAATACAAAGCATTACCATTAAATATTCAAACCATTAATTCAGTTATTGTGACATGAAAAATTAATTTTGTAGCACAAAGAGATAACTGACCTTGATCAAAACGACTTTGATGAACATGACGCTGCTTCCGCTAAGCGTCTAGTATATGGTAAGTACATTTGCCAGAAAATTCATGAAGGTCCGGGACAGCATGTCATGTTTTGACGTTAAAACATCCAGGAATACCCAGAAACTGAAAAAAGTATTTTGCTTCTGGTCAGTTTCTTTGTCCAAAATTGACGCGCTCGCACGGCTTTCCCCCATTTTTTGCAAGGGAACACTTTTTGCAGAAATGGCGAGGTCATTGCTGGTTTCTGAAGGTGTATACTTTGATAATCTAAGCTTAATGTTAAAATGCAACTAAGCTTGCGTAGAATAAAATGAAAACTACTGTAGAATAACATAAACATGCAGTACACCATCATGCAGTACGTTGGAATAAAAATTTCATAAAGATGTAACATATTACTTTTGTGTCAAATTTTGAGCACGTAGCCTATAGGCTACAAGAAGAAAATTTTCTTGAGATGATCACCAGTTTTCATAAAAAAACATTGACGCGCATAGTGTAAGATGATGCGCGTGCTGACTAGAAACGGAATTCATTTATTTTTGGGCCTAAACTATAAAACAGTTGTAAGCTGATAAAACGCAGAATTTCTCGCGGACAAATATCATCAATCAAATTAGGTGCAATCCCTTGCATGTAATTTAGTCGTTTGACTAAATAGTAAAAAGGTTCAGATTTTGAACTTTGGCTATTGTTACCGCTACTATTAACCAATCAGATACGTTTAATCTGTCCAACTAACCAATCTAATGCGTTTTAAGCAAATAAAAGTAATAGTATATAGGCCCATCGCGAAACTTGAAAATTCACTTTTTACCGCACTTTCGGTTTTGAAAAAAATTGATGCAGAGAAAGTTGTTTAATTTGAAACTTGGTATTTGCAATTCAACTTTTTGTGAATTCTACATTAGAAATATTGCGAAGCAACAGCTGTTGAAAACCGGACGCTTTGGGGGCTTCGCGATAGGTCTGTTGGTAGCTGATTAAATATCAACCTCTCGATTATTACAAAAATTTAAGGACGACCGTTTTTCACCGTTTTCAACAATTCCAGAAAACTCCAAAAGTGATAAATTATTCTCCAAAATTAGGTGAAAAGGTTTACATCCTAAGGCATTCCTTAAATACCTATATATTTTACATTCTGACAGGATACTGTGGAAAAGTTGGAGTGAGTTATATCCGGTGGGGTAAAAATACCTGTCCAGGTAACTGGGGAACTACACTGGTATATAATGGTAAGAAGAAAATTGTTCGTTTTTTGTCAATGAGGTTTTTCGACCTATAACTCTATTTAGACCAATATTAGATGAAAAATTGAATCAGAATATTCAAAGCAAGGGGAGGGAGGCAAAACATTTTTGAATCATCTCTTAAGACAGTTTAGTACGCACTGATCTTTCCTTTACTTATTTGCCAATTTTTCAGTAGAATTGATAACTTTTGCTCCCCCAAAAACCCCTCCATGCCCTCCCACCCCCTTCGCACCTGCCAGCACGCCACTGGTCACAGAAATAAATAAGTTTTTTTCTTTTTCTATATAGGCTCCGTCGGGGGTTCCTGGTACAATAATAAAGGTGGTGCATCTAATTATCTGTGTTTGCCTGGTGTGCCAATTTATAATAAGTATAAAACCGGTGTTCAAACGGATCGTTCTGGAATTTATGGTGCTGAATATCAGACAGGATCTGATGGCATATTTCCTAGCAACCTACATCAGCACGATGTTCCATGTGCCGTGTGTCATGTGACCAATCGTGCTTCTCAAATTATGATACCAGCTCGTAACGTGTGTCCAGCAGGATGGAGACGCGAGTACCACGGATATCTCATGGCCGCAAAATACTCCCACTATCGTACAATGTATACATGCGTGGATGAAAACCCAGATTACAGACCTGGAAGTCATGCTAATGTAAACGGCGCATTGTTTTATTTCGTTGAAGGAAAGTGTGGCTCCCTTTCTTGCCAACGAGATGCATATGTCAAAAACCGTGAGCTGACATGCGCAGTGTGCACTCGTTAGTTATTTATGAGCACAACCGTAAACTTTATCTTATTAAATTGATGAGGATCACTGATTTGCACCTTTTTCAAACTTTTAAAGAATATAATCTAATTTCTGACACTAATTTAGCACATAATTGATGCACGTACCGACTCTTTTGTTTCTCTTATTAATGCTAATGATAGTAATAATGGCAATAAAATGTTTTTATTTTCATTGCAAACCTCTTATATTATTTATATTGGAATTTAACTGCCTACATTTTAATCCCAACTAAAAACTAAAAAGCAGAAGGAACATATCCAAATGTTCGTAGCATAATAGTATACATACTGGCAAATGTTACTCGACTATGACTGGTTGATTTCAGTACAGTTTAACAATCACACAGCTGTGCATAATTCTGTAAGAACAATGCAAAAATCAGTAAGAACAGTGCAAAAATAAATAAGAACAGTGCAAAAATCAGTGAAAAAGTGTCTGATTGGTGGTAAAACAATGGGGGTATAAAATCAACCAATCAGCTTAAAGCATTTGTCAAGTAACGGTCACATACATTGCTTCAAAACAAAACAAACATGGCGGTCGCGCTACATAAAGTAGAAGTTGAGTTCGGGTGGAAAATATGGCATTGATCTTTTTTCAAATGGAAAAGACTTTACTGACCTAAACAAGACTGACAAAACTTATATAATTAAGTAAAATTTTGAAACCGTTAGTGTTGTATAATGTGATATACAAAGCGAAAAACTCTTTCGTGCATGTTTTATCTAAATTGCACTCGAAACGATCATATTACTGCCTCGTTCCCAGGCGCTATAAAACGATTTCACATAGTATTACCAGTTACTACATCAAAGGTTTACATGAAGTAGTGCATCGCGACGAACAAGCTTGACGCACTACTTCGTGTAAACCCTATGATATAGTGACTCGTATGTGGAATCGTTTTATAGCGCCTGGGGACGAGGCAGATCCTATTACCTGTTCAAAGTTCGAATGGACTGTTGTAAATAACGATACAGAAAGTGGAGTTAAATACGGTCAATTATACAATGGTGAGTCGTTGGTATACTGAACAAGACTGGATGGAACTGCAAGTCGCGAAATACAAATATTATGAATGCAGTGCGCAAGTTGCTAGAGTATCTTCGGACGACGTTATTATTTATTTGTTTTCCTTCTTTATTTTCCGGCTCCCGGCGAAGAAGTATTCATCCGCGTTTGTATCGGCCTTTGTATCTGCGTGTGTAGAGTTTTTCTTTCTCGAAAGTCGCAAGGATCGAAGGTCGCTGGAAGCTGCCAACCTTTGCATATTCATATCTATGAATTCAGCGCATTTACAATAAATATTTGTACTCGCCAAATTCAAACGAAACATTCTACGTGAAAGTGCTTGAATACAAGGAAAATTCTACTCTTATGACCTTTGAGCGAATAACGTAAAGTTTACAAGATCATTCTCCAAATGAAATTCAAAATGTTTGGCCAAGGGTAAATAAATGTATGATTGATTTGGTTTGAGTAACGTTTTAACAGCATTTGTCCCCCGTTCAAATGGTTATTTTGCGAGCATTCCAATGGTGCTTTTTATTTTAAAGGGAGGGGGGGGGGTGTATACTCCGGGTGGGGGCGTGAATATTAGAAACAATTGAAACATAATACTGTTAGTTACGGTTACCACTGAGTTATTTTAAAAAATACAAAACAATGGACACTCCGAAAACGGTTAACTTCTTGATTCGTGCCAAACATTTTGAGCATGCCCGCAGTAAAGAATCAGAGACTTACAAACACATAAATTCATGCGAACACTTCGTGTATTATAGAACGCTATTTAATCTTCCTCTGCATACACTATTTAATCTAGACGACTTCACTCCCGAATCAATTATTTTCAACAACTGTAAGATATTAGACAAATCCTGACATTGGTCTTTATTACTTTTTAAAGAATCACTATATATTCATCGACAAAGACCGGAACTTAACCACGGATGTAAAGCCTCTAAGGAACTAATCATTTTTAACTGACAGATATCATATTTCATTTGATCTTGTAAATATAGTTTTGTGTTTCTTAGTAGCGTCATTCCTGGTCATTACTGCAAGCTAGTCGAACGTCGAATCAAAATGTTAACCGTTTTCGGAGTGTCGATTGTTTTGTATTTTTTATAATACTGTTAATGGGACTAATTGGCGAGAAAGAGTATTTGAATAAAAAGTGAATGAGAAACTAAATTTTATAAACGCAAGTTTGCTTCGTACGACAAGTGTGCCAAGGCAACACGCTAATGAACTTTTTGAAATTTTTGTTATATTTTTTATACGAAACGCAAAAATTGTTGAAAGATTAGTAATTTTAACTATACAACAATTTGCGAAATTTGTACAGTTGGAACATATGTTATTTTGCATTTTGTGAGCTTTGATTTAATGTAAAAGTTAACCTCAATCGCTTGGTAAAATGTTTTGAAATGTTCATTCAACTGCTTTTGCCGATAAATAAAATAAATTTAAATTGTTGAGTAATTTCAGTTTGGTCTACAAATTAATTTGTTTTCCCGTTCTGGAATCACAGGGCCGCTGCATGCATGCAGGTGTGATTCCTGCAAGAGGGCCTAAAGTTGCAGCTCCAATTAAGTTGTTTCTAAAATTGTATATAAAATTTCATTAAAAAATTCCATACACCACATTCAATTTTACATTCAGCACATAGTAAACACATTTAATAAAAAATGGGCCTTATGCAGGTTTCCGTCCAATTTCCAGGGATGTCAGTTACCGCAATACTGGACGTTTTATATGTTGTTTATATCATTAGTACTCACCAAAAATTTTCAATTCAATCAATAGGATTAATTCTTCCTGCATGAGTTAATCATTTAACCACGAGTACCCAGAGTGGAGAGTTGAGTGTGTTGGTACAGGGACGCCGGAACTGGGGGGGGGGAAGGAGGGGCAGCCGCCCCCGTTGCCCTTTACCAGGAATGGCAAGAGGGGCAAAGGTGCCCTTTCAACTTAAAGGATTGCCTTGGCGAAATAGTGAATTGTCAGAAATGTTACGAATTTGCTTCAGAAAACGCAAAAAATGCAGTCATCGAGCTTCAAGAATAGCGCAATCGCCTGGCGGAGAACCCCCTCACACCCCTATCATTCAATAGGTAGAAAACATGATTAGGCGAAGTTCAACTCCCGATGTTTTGCAAACATCTCTTAGTATATATCAATTCAAAAGTGCCCTTTCACGAAAATCTGCCCCCCTTGCCTTCACATTGTTCTGGCGTCCCTGTGTTGGTATACAATTGCTGTCCACAAGTATTTCTTCTACCCTGCCCATACCTATTTTTAAATTAAAAAACTTTTGCGACTGTTAAATCTTAAAGATGCGGTACAGTCAATATGTGAACAAAGGCTTTGTTTTGATTTCGGTATCCAAAATATTGAATTTTATTCGACAACTATTTATATTTTCATGATACTAGAGTATAATTAATTATCAAGACACAACAATCAAGCTTTGCACGAACATAAAATGATATAAAAACCTAAATAAACTGTTTGTTAATAAAAAGAGGGCTTCTTGTGCACACGCGCAGATCGGACTGTACCGCGTCTTTAATCTGAATGGCGAAATTGTCTAACCCACATATATATTGCATATTACACGTACAATTTACTAAATAAACTACCCCTTCTGTATTACAGTCGAAGCGATCATTAATGTAAAACGTTCTGCCCTCAGGATAACTCTTGTTGAACCTCACATTTTTCATTCTCCATTCACAGTCAATAAAAATAATATCAAATTGAAAAGCAACCAACCGTTGGAAAACCAAAGTGGCTGGACTCTAAAATGAATTTTAATATATAAACGTTTTGCTCTATTAATCTTTTCTATAAAGATTTGAGTCGAGAACTCTGGCTATACACCTTAACTCTAATAAGTCTATATAGTTGAACCAGAAAGTGATTTTTAAAGTTATAAAACGGGTTCGATTTCTTCTGGGTATGCACGTAAAATATATGAAAGTTTTGTTAAGTATATCAAATTTTAAAACTCTTATAAATGCAGTCACCATTCTTGCCAAAAAGTGTATATATACCTTTTCTGTGTGTCCATGACAGTGAAATTATATTTTCTTCCTTGCTTGCTTGCTTGCATGTCATGAGTTTTTCAATTGTTATTTCACTCTTAATTAGACAGCAGGCACATGTTTACGTCGACAATATATACATTTTTGGTCTTGGTCAACAGAAAATATCTAAATTCTTATACTGTATATTATCATGTTGTAGTCACGCCTCTTATGCTTCGCAACATATCGAGTTTTTGTCACATCTCAGCTCAAACAATTTTTGAAAACCTTTCAAGTGCAGTGTGTCCCAAAATGCGATATGCCACGTTTTCAAACGGGTATGACTAAAGGGAGAGTTATGATTTCGGAGAGTTATGTTCAAACCACGCCCACTTTCCCCAACGACCACCCCCAATATCTTAATTTGCCTGACGTTTCTTTGAACTAACATGAGAGTGTTATATTTGACGTAAGTCTCTCTCGTTAACATTATGAAGATGTTAGAGAGTTATCATTTTTTCTAACTCTCCGCGTTCACGATTGTGGCAATGAAGAGAGTTATGTCAGTTTTTTGAGAAAACTTAGTAAAGCTTGTTTCTTCAGATTTAATAATTTTTTTATCTTATTGTTTGGGATTGCAGTTTATAGCAGCGTGTCAATAGCGTGCGTCCAAACAGGAAACTACGTTTCAAAAAGCCGCTGGCGTCAAATTTAATATGTCCTCCATTTCAAGTGCTTGTTGGTGAGGGGACTGCATTAAGCTTTCAAGAGTATGAAATGTTGGTGGAGAAGGGTTTGCCAATGGCGTAGCTCTATGTCGAAAGAAACAAACTAAAAACTCTGTTTGTATGCACGTTACACTTGATTAAGAACCACATATTTTTACAAACAGTAAAAATTATTGAGATCTTGTTTGTTAGATATTGCTTTTTTGGTGTTTGGTTCATTGTTATTGTTTTGTTAAAAGTTCGAACAGTATTAAAAATGACAATAATTCATTCATTCGTATTCGCTTCACTTAGTACTACTAGTTTCTACCAAGGTGAAATGTTAAAGCTGAAACTTGAGAAAAAAGTAAACTGATTCACAAAAATTTACTAAGATGTGGAAGTTTTTTCCAAAAATTGGAAAAAAAGACATAACTCTCTTGTTTACCACAATCGTGAACGCGGAGAATTATAAAAAACGATAACTCTCTAACATCTTCATAATGTTAACGAGAGAGAGAGTTACGTCAAACATAACTCTCTCATGTTAGTTCAAGGAAACGTCGGGAGAGTAAAGGGAAAAGTGGGCGTGGTTTGGGCGTGGTTCGAACATAACTCTCCGAAATCGTAACTCTCCGAGATAACTCTCCACTTCATAACTCTCCGTTTAGCCGGTCCCTTTTCAAACCCGTTCGTTGAGCGAATGCCTCCGCTTATTTGCGGGATAAAAATAACAGGAAATGAATTGAAAGCTGCAAGAACTCTTATTTCCGGCAAAATAATTGTTTCCGATTATTTGTATAACAATTAATTAAATACTATCCATACACGTAGCTACAGTGTCTTATTTTTTATCGTCTATACATACAGATAAAAGGAGTTCAAAACAATTTTGAATATTTCCAAACTTTGAATTTTAACTAAACTTTGCAATATTTTGTGGAATTTTCTCATTTTTTCTACCACTACCAAGAAAAATCTGGAATATATACAGTACAATTTTTTCTTGGCATGCAGTGGTATAATTTGTTTAGGTAAGTGAAGGGGCACAAGATCAACAACCCCAATGTCACTTTTGCTTGCCTGGTTGCATATATAGAGGATATTAGACGGTTGCGAAGAGATATGGATTTTATGTTCGAGTGGCAAAAACAATATGCGCTCACTCGTGAGATATTGTTTTTGACACGAGAACATAAATCGATATCTTCTCGCAACCGTTTAATGTTCTGTTTATTATATGGACATTCAGAGTGACAAAAATACACAGTCACAAAGACAACATGTAAATAAGCACGCGGAAGACCAGCATAAAAGCGATATTTTTTAAAATTCTAGTGCAAACATAAAAGTAGAATAAATTTTACTCATCTCAAGATGTTTTTTAAATGTTTTCGTTTTATTTACAACGTTAATTTCGTTTTAAATACGAACCAAAGACCATTTGTATTTTCAAAACAACAACAATGAAAATGGCGGGAAATTTTCGAACTTCGTATGTCACTAGCAGTGGTGAAATACGGAAAATACGCACACTATGGTCCCGGATGTAGTGACGTATGAGTTCTACGAGTGTTTAGTTTCCAGTAAAACACCATTCTCCATATATTAAATTGCGATATCTACACATTGTATCTGTGCATTTTACAAGGTCGGAACTTGTGTTAGTGTGATGCATGTATACGATCCACCTATTTCAACAGATATGTTTACATTACATCCAAAATGGAAGATTACTCCTGGCTGCTATATGTATGACAAAAAAATTACATGCAAGCATTAATTGAGCGATTTTATATTTCACAGTTACAGCGTTTTCTGAATAGCATTGCTTGTCTTATACAACGATATTAAAAGAAGAAAAAAAGTTAAAAAGCAATTTAATATTTCCCAATGAATGTATTATGTATTATTAGATACACGAAGAGCTAGGAGGGTTCTGGGTCATATTCTCCCGGAAAAGTTTGAATTATAGAAGTAAAGAATGGCCATTTCCTACGTTTTCCGGGTGACATTTGGTTTTGTTTTTTTTGCCTTAAATATCTGTATGGGCGCATCATTTATACCTAGTAATTTTCATATAATGCTCGAAAACTAAGTTTTAGAACTGCCCATTCTAAGTTTTAGAACTACCCATTTTGGAAAATGCATGGGAAGCCTTAAGATGACCCCTGCATGCGTAAGACTGTAAGATGACCCTGTAAAACATACTAAGTTAAAATTTTGTAGATAAAGCCTTCGCAATTCTTGGAGGGAGAAAAAGTTAGGGGAAATATAGCTACAATCCTGGTCAAAACCATCTGCGACACTCCATTAAAACATTGCTCAGTGGCTATTTTCTTTTACTTACCCTCCCCCCCCCCCTTCCCCCAAGAACTATGTTGGACGTGTTGCAATGCCTTTAACCGCGGAAATGCCATTAATATCGAAAGGTGGCGGTGGGGGAGTGTTTTTTGATTGATTGGAATTGTCGGAGTGTTAGTGTAAATTTGATTTTGTAACAAATACTAAACACATTTGGAAAATATTTTTTGGGCGAGTAGGTCGATCAATTATTTATGTTTCATATTTTTAACACAACTTTTCTCTACCGAGACGTTGGTCCAATTTTACTAATAAATTGATATCATTTTCGTCTTTAAAGCACTTTATATGTCATCAATAATTAAAAGAACAATGACAACCACGTTTTAAATTATTTCACTTTACTTTATGCATGTTTTGAAAGAACAATTCGAAAGTAAAGTAATGTCGAAAAAGACTTTTGTCAAGACTAGTAAAACCGGGTTCTCTTCTTCTGATGGATATGAGCGAATTTATGAGTTATAAATGCTCAGATGATGATGACTGTATGTGCTCAGAAAATCCATAGTCAGTATGCATCTACTCGTTCACATGCATCAGACCAAAACTATACTGACACAACCGTCAGGTAAAGCTTCTTTCGCCTCTAATATCGTGGGTCCGATTCTGGCTTTTGGCTCATGACACAAATGTGAAACGAATCGGTCAACACTAGTGAAAGTCTTGGGGTAATCCGGTTCCTTCCCACATGGAATCGAAGCTGCAATCAAGTCATTAAGAATGATTAGTAAAACTCCAATCTCCACTTAGACTGGGAATCATTGCCAATCACTCACTTATCCAAAATTGCAGCAAAACTATTATTTGAAACTTTGAAAATAAAAAAAAAATCAAGTGTCAATTATCATGCTCTCAATTACATCCTAGCTCTCAATAGAAACGTTTTCAGACGTCGTTTTCGTTTTGGTAGGTTCGGTCTATTTTCTATTCGTTCTTTGATCCGTGCTATTTTACGTACTGCGTAACGTTTCATTCGGTTTTGTAATTCCGGTTCCGAAAGACATTGTTCGAAACGGCTCGCGCAGCAATTAAAGACATTGATTCATTATAAACACAATAAAAGAGAACGAGATAGATTGTTGCAATGCATGGATTTTATTATTCTACAGTATACATGTTTAGTTGAGATACATAATTACATTGATCTAAGTTGAATTGCAGGAATGTTGTTAATATTAATTTTCCGTAATATGGCCAGTTCGTCCTAAGCAAAAAAGGAATAAAAATTATTATAATAAAAATGCATAAACACTAAACGTTTAGGACAATCAATAGCTAAATCTAATCAGTTCAAATGAGTAACCTGGATGTCATGTGCTTGGAAATTCATTTCTGTCCTCAAAACTAAATCCCTTCTTATCGATTCAGTTATCAATCATGTATTAGGTGATATTTAAGTGGATTTGCTTACCGTTACAAATGCATATGTTTATCCATATATACCCTTGTGTCTACCACCGATAACCATAACCACTACGCCTGCCTTTGCCGTATTTGCCACCATAGCCATAACCTCCACGACGGTGGCCATATCCTCCATTACGGTAGCCATATCTTCCATTGCGGTAGCCATATCTCCCACGGCCATAGCCATGGCCATATCCTTTGCGTCCTCTGCCATATCCATTGTATCCCCTCCCATATCCTTTGCGTCCCCTGCCATATCCTTTGCGTCTCTTGCCATAGCTAAATATATTGAATTGCCATCAACTTAGACTGTCAAAATCCCAAATGTAACCTTCACTATATATGTAAATCACGATTTGCTGAAAGCTATTCATTTAATAACATGAAACTATGTAAGTTAGAACAAAAAGTTATACAATTGCATATCACACACCAACCGGCTTTGGTTACAAGCTATCCAATCAGTCTAATTATATTTCATGACTAGCTGTCTGATATTGATTATCCAAATTGATTACCTATACGAGGTAATTACCTTTTTGAATATGAATGTAAGTAACTTAAGTAAGTAAGCATGCAAAGGGTGCTGCTGATTAAGCTAAATTGCAAGGGATTACCGATTGAAACAAAGGCTTTCTGGGACCGTCTCTGGCACCCACATGGAAATTTTCGCTATACTAAAATGTTAATCGTAATCACGGAACACAGCTGCAACGAAAGGTTCAGATAGGGGGTAAACCAACCGGAATACCATGATAAAACCCGCCACTTTCGGTATAAATCGTGGGTTTGACTAGCTCTTTTCCCAAAAGTGTCATGATTCTCCAGCGACAGTCGAACCCACGATCTGAGGTGAAAGGTGCTTGCGAGAGTTCACGGCAAAAATGTAGTAATTGGTTGTTTGCGTTGAAATTTAACCCAACCAAGTGTGCTTACATATTTGAAATGGTCAGTTTTCATGATGTATAATTGTATATCATGCACGCGTATAAGTTTTCTCTACATAATATTAACAACTGCACTTTTCCTATCTGGTATGCACCCTCAAACATACCGGAAACAAATAGTTTTAACATGCATGCATGGTTAGTTAAAAAATTAACAGAAAACAGCTGACAGCAACAGACATAATCTATTTGAAATTCGACAATGTTTTTCTTCCATTTTGCTTTAGTTTTCGCTTTCGAATAGCTATATTGAGATTCAAAACGGTTCTCTTGTCTTTCAAACGTGCCTGTGCCACGGCAAAGTGTTCAAGGGAAATGTTTTTCGTCTTTGAATTACTTTCGTAATCATGAAATTGGAGTCACAGGAATTGCTGTTGAGATAATTGAAATTGGTGACGCGTACTTCACCGTCTAATGCTTCAAATATTCCCCGGAAATGACCAACAATTTTTAAATATTCTATCGTCGAGTGGCACGGTTGTATTATCCATGCAGCTTTTTTATGATCCATGGTTTTAAGAGAGTGCAATCAATGATTTACTACACAACTTACTCATCGTCGTTTTCTTCATCATCTTCCTCATCATCATCATCTTCATCATCCTCCTCTTCTGTCAGATCATTTTCATCATTTCCTAAATCGACACAAAATCAATTTAATTACAACACATTCCTTGTCACTGTAATGGGTAAATTATCTCAAAATTACCAAAATATTATTTCTACATTTCGATGAATGTTTTCCCAGTCTTCGGCAAAAAGTAGTGTTAAAATATCAATGTTTGGTATCATTTTTGACACTGTTTTGTGTTCAATCTTGCTAGATTGTTGTTGCAGTAAACTATATGAGTAATAACAGTAGTCAATATTTTTTTGTTCCTTCTTGACCTACTGTAATTCTTGCACACTGTTAAAACATCTCAGCACACTAGAATTTGCAATTTAATTTTAAAAATGCTATTTTCACCTGTGAGTGTGTCAAACACAAAGCGTGCCTAATTGACTTATGTCAATTGGGCAGCCACACTGTAGCATGCATTCATGAAATAAATGTGAGTGGTTCAAGTAAAAACGAAACGTTATGCACAGCATCACTCACAAATAATCGTTAATTATCCAGAAATTCGAAAGAAAAGTTCTCAAAATTATTCAAAATTTGCAGTTAACGTTTTCAGTTGACTTCAGCAATGTAAGAAACCATGTTGAAAATTGATTCTTCAAATATTTTACCTTCCAATAATTCATCTTCCAAAGGTTCATCTTCTTCGATCGGAAGTGAATACGCCACTGCACACAGCAGACCAAGAACAAATAAGAAATACGTTGTCTTCATATTATTTAAACCTTTATTCTGTTTCTGTATTTGCTTCAGACTTCGATATCCTCCTTTTAACTTTTGAATGATGAGTAAGCTGCGGATTTTGCTACTTATATACTTGTGGTGGGTTTATGCTAATCGATTTAGCCATTACTCTGCAATATTTTCCATTATAATATCAAGTACTATGCTAATTTGATACGTTACATGATTTCTTTATCAATATTAAGTGAGTCATTCATCATTGAAAATCAATCAATATCACTTAAGTACATTTATTACTGTTTCCGTTTCGAGCACTTGTATATCCAAAGAGGAAACTGCAATAATACATAACCTTAAGTGGGTAGGCTACTTTATATAGCAGGCCAAATACTAAATATTAAATCAATGTTAATTTCATGATTGCATGGTCTGGAGTTCATCTATAGACTATACTTAAAAATATATGGTATATTTACTTTCTCTAACCTATAATATTATTGTTACACATCGTATATATAGGCTAAGCATAGGTCAGTTATAGGGAAACATCAGTATTAAGACATTTTGACCATATTAGATAATTTCTCCCTTTTTTTACGATTTTTAAGAAGAATTGTCCGATTTTTAAGTAGAATCAGCTTGATTTTTAAGTACAATTTGCCCGACTAAAATATGATAGCTAAATATGATTGGAGGCCGCACCCACCCCCTCTCGTACATCTAAGATAAGCCATTTTACATGCGACCAAATTTTCATCCTAACAGAATGGAATAGAATAATGCATTTAATGTTGAATGAAACAGAGTGTGGTTGCCCAATCAATCGAGCCAGGTTCTCATAATTATAGAAGTGCTCGACAATAATACCTATTTTACCAATATATCAGATATTTACGTAGTATTAATAATCTATACACTAATGCTAAATGCATGCATAACATTGACAGACAAGTAAATCAGATTGGTGAATCTGGTTTCTAAATTCAGATAACGAGGTAGATGACTTGGCAGGAAGTGGCAACTGATTTCAAATATGTGAAATAATATATTGGAGTTACGCAAATAACGACTGTATACACATCCTGTACCACATTATGACCACTACCTCCTAAAGCATATGGAGTATTACGAAGTTTAAAAAAATTAGAAACATAGGTAGGGCCATTTTGCCTGAAACGTTTCTATAGAGGGTTGGACCCAAGGTTGTATTGACAAGGGATGAATTTAAATGACAAAATCAACTATACCAGAAAAATAGCTATATAATATAATTTAATTCCGCACTTCAGATATAACCTATTTTGAAGAATAATTATTGTCAGCACCTAATAGACTTCTTTCACGCTTTCTGAGGCGATCAAATAGCGAAAGACTGAAATCATATAGCGAAAGATTGAAATCGTTGCATTTGCTTCCTCTAACATACTGGCATGAATATCTCGATATGGTATTCTTTTTCAAAATGATGCACGGCCTAATAAATGTCAGTTCTAACGTTTTACCATCAGTTCGTGAAGTCGGATCAACCAGATCTTCTAGCTCGGGTGTTGTAAAATATGTCGTGGGAAAAATGCAAAACCAGCACCTACCAGAAGTCGTACGTGGTAAGGTCTACACGAATCTGGAATACTCTAGCTGATGAACTTAATCTGAGGATGGACAGTATTTCATCATTTAAATCTGTCTTGCTTAAATACAATTTCGCTGCCTTAGATATTTTTGACTGTGACAATCCGCGTACTTTTAATTAAGACAGTGTGTTTAAAGTGCAATTGTTGCCGTAGTCTTGTGTGCTCGTTCAAGTGCTGTAATTAATTTCTTGTTTCAAGTCTTAAATATTTTTTACATATTTTATTTAAAGGGTCCGCAGTAATTGGCTATAGGCTGTTGCGGTGTCCCTGCCTCTTTCTCTCTCTTTTTTTTAAGGCACGTACGTTTCTTGCCTTCTGACTTATGAGTTTGTCTATATTGTAACCTATGTCTATATTGTAATGTATCCTATGTCTGGCGAATCTAATAAATAAATAAAAAATAAAATATATAATATGCGATGTTACTCCAGCTATAAATACCAGAAATTAAGAACATGGTCAAAGTTGGTAAGCACCAAAGATTTTGCGGCTTATTTTGAAAACTGTAGCATTATGAACTTTCAAATTTGTTTGAGTGACCTTGAAAGATTATAAGAATATCCTGGAAACGAAATTGTTGGCTGATGAAGTGTAATAGAAACTAGGAAATTATTTTGATGGCCTTCTTTTTATACTCATGATTCTTTCAATAGAAAGTGGTAAAAATTTGTTATGAGTTATAATCGTACAAGAACCTCTCACAGGCTACACCTTTCACGCATGTGTTATGCAATATGATATATATAGAAACATTAATTTTTGTTCAGAGATATAGAAACAACGTTTTGCTACAACATCATAATAATGAAAACAAGCCATTCTACATATATAATAAGTTTAACTTCATTTTGGCCTGTGCCTAAATCTATATGTAAAAATCTATATGATAAATTGGATAAAATTGCATGTCCTTTCTATAGAGATGCACTCAAGAAGCAAACGGATTAAAGAGAGTTAATAACGCTGAACTTAAACCGTCGTTGAAGTCTTTAACCAAGCTAATCAATATTTCTATATGCATGTGAAATTGTCAATACGCGAAAGACGTTTTCACAGATGAATCATTCATGTCAGGATTGCATCACGAGGAAGTATAAAACGGCTCTTTGTAATTGTCGAAATTTTACGTTATTTACTGTATAAATAATGGAATAATAAAATTTCAATTCAAAGTTACAACGGATATGATTTAAGATTTTGTAGACAAATCACAACAATTTTTAATGACTTGAACTATATAATATTTTTATTGCATGTTTGCATGCTTACAAGCTAAGTATATATATGCAATTTCAGTCAAGACAGACTTCAGAGTGTTTTTCAAATGTGTTTCATGGTATATCATTCGTACACGTTCTTCTGACTGAAAAACATGCAACTATACAAACAATTGCTTCGCGAGTTTACCTGAAATGTCTTATTTATTTAATTTTTCGTTTGGGCCACCAAAACTTTAAATGTTATCAGGTTTTCCCTAAACGTTTCTTTGTCTTCTAACGTATATACGCTAGTCTTTACAATTTATATGTAGCTACAACAAACTTTGAGAAGATTCAATAGTTAACGATATTGAACGTCAAATCTCAAGGATTAATTTCAAAAGTACTCGAGATGGAATTGATAGTATTTATAAAAATTACATAACATGATGTATATGGCTTTCGCGACTGATGTATATGGCTTTCTAGATTCCTTAACCAAAAGGCAAAAACAATAATGAAGTAATGTACAGTCAACTTAAATAATGACAATATTGCATGGAATCAAAGATGGCGAAGTTTCAAAATTTGAAATTCTTAATAGAGTGAATTGAAATCACTTGATATAATATATATAATTATCTGCTTCCTAGCGTAGTTTACATAATAACTATGTAGCTATATAGTTAATATATAGAGGATATTACACGGGGGCGCGAAGATATGACTTTTTATCCTCGAGTGGTGAAAACGATACTTTATGAACGAGCGCAGCGAGTGAGTAAAAACGAGAAGATAAAAGTCATATCTTCAAGCCAACGCGGTGTAATGTTCTGTTTATTATATAGCCGAAGCAAAAAATTGTATAAATACTAAAAGTCACGTGATCGATATCCTCACTAGTGAAGATATGGAAAATATGTCACTGCGTATTTTTCAGTATCTCACTCTCTACTATATAATAAATAGTTAATATAGTCATGTCCGATAAACATTTTTTGTGTCTGGACGTGATGCTTTGGATTATGGCACCCCAATTTTTGCTGTCGCTGCAACGCCATTATCATTATTATACCATTCTATAATATATCAAATTAACTTATTTCTTATCTAATTCGTTTGTTCTTCATATACGCGCATGCAATTAGCACTTCCTAAGCCGATGAAAGAATTTGGCAAAAGTGCTTCAGCTATACAACAGTGTCGTACTTTGGAATATGAGGCAAAAACAACAGAATCCATAAAAGCTCCTTTAATAATTAGAACATTTTCATTCATGTACGCGCGCCCATGGAAACCAGCTGATAGTTGTTGAGGCTAGCGTGTTCAAATAAAGTCAGTATGTATATAGTATATGTATGTATCTTAGCAACAAAAAACATCAAATCCTAATATATGATATTGTTTTTACCATTAAAAATACATACAAGTGCTCTTGAGACACGAGAATCATTTCAAATTTCACACCCCTTATCAGTTAAATCATCCAAAGTGCACAAAGAGCTGCAAAGATGATTGTACTAAGAAACACTTCATCATTCAAAGTATAGGAAAATCACCTGAAATGTTGTTTTAGCAGATATTGTGGCAGTAATAAACAAACATCTATTACAAAAATTGCTGTATAGGTACAAAAAACTTCTTAAACTTGCCGTGTGATAACTTGTCATAGAAATCGTGTTCGTCTGTAACTGGCTTATAAAACCCGCAACCGAAGACTATAGCGATCCAAGCAGGCAAACTCTAAAACGTGCAATGGACATCTGGAACAACTGAAAAATATTAAAAATCTCATGAATTGCATGTAATTGTATGGAATAGCTTGACTTTTTCGTTATGTGGGTTCAGGAGAGGATCCATACACGGTTAGATTATTGCGAACGTGATTTGTGAAAATTCGTTCAATGAAACAATGCTGATTAGTAAATAAAATTGACAAATTTGTCTTAAACATATTAAATTAATTAGTTTTTCCAAGAACATTTTTTACATATAAAACCGTTCCCTTGCGTCCCGGTCCCCTTGGGGGGGGGGGGGGTTGAGAAGGGACCTTTCTGTTAGATAATATATTAGAGTGTGATAGCAACGGCTGAAGGCCACGTGTGTGGTCGACTAACCACACATGAATAGGGGGTCTGGGGGCATATACTCCCCAGAAAATTCTAGTTTGAAATTTAAAGCACGAAATGCCATTTCCTGCATTCTGAGCATCTAAATTTGCTCCAAAATTTATGCGAAATATACTTGTATTTGAAATAAAA